ACAGGGAATTGTGTTCTCTACAATATACACAAGGACTGGTGATGTCTATAATACACACAGAGATTGTTTTTCTCTGTAATGTGCAGAGGATCTGTGGTTCTCTATAATATACAAGGGTCTCCTGTGGTGTGTAATGCATACAAAAACTGCTATTCTCTATGATATACACAGTGCCTGCAGTTCTCCAGAATACATGCAGAACTGTTCTCCCCCATTAGGTACACAGGGGCTGCCATTGTCTTTAGGATGGACAGTTCTACCTAGCATTCACAAACGTACTATTCTATCTGATATAGAGAGGTGATCTTATTCTTTATAATATGCTCAGGGACTGCTGTTTTTTATGATGTTCATTGGGACTGCCATTCTCTTTCAAATGAACAACGCCTCCTGTTCTCCACATAATACACAGAAGCGCTATTCTCTACAATATACATGGGGGCTCCAATTCTCCATGAAGTGACTGCTGTTTTGTATGACATATAAAGGGATTGCTGTCTGCTTCAGAATACACAGGGACTGCTGTTCTCTATAATACACACAGGGACTGATGTTCTGTGTAATATGCACAGGCACTGCTCTTCTCTGTATTATACACAGCAACTGATGTTCGTTATAATATACAGAGGGACAGCTGTTCTCCATGATATACACAAGGATTGCATTCTCTATAGTATACACACTAAGTGCCATACTCTATGATATAAACAAGGACTGCCATTCTCTATAATGTACAAAGGGTTCTCCATTCTCTTCAATATACACAGGGACTGCTGTTCTTTGCCATATACACTAAGACTGCAGTTCTCTATGACATACACAGGGACTGCTTTTGTCCGTAATGTACACAGAGACTGCAGCTTTCTAGAATAAACACATGACAGCTATCCTCTATTATACACACAGGAACTGCCATTTTCTTTAATATGGACAGGGTCTGTCTGTGCTGTGTTTTATACACCAGAGTGCTACTCCGTATCATGTAGACACGGACTGCTATTGTCTATAAAATACACAGAGACTGATACTCCTTATAATATACACAGGGAATGCTGTTCGGTATAATATACACAGGAACTGCAGTGCTCTGTCATAAACTAAGGGAATACTTTTCGCTAATGACATATGCAGTGGCTCCTATTCTCTATAATGTACACAGGGACTGCTGTTCTACATAACATACACAAGGGATGTTCTTCTCCATAGCATACACAAGGACTGCACTTCTCTATAAAATAAACAAGGACTGCTCTCTGCATAATGTATATAGGGTCTGCTGTTCACTATATTACATGTAGGGACTTCTGCTCTCTACAATACACACAGGGGCTGCTATTCTCCCAGATATTCAACAGACTGCTATTCTGTACAATATAAACAGGGAGTGCTGTTCTTTATTATATACAAAGGGACTGCTGTTCTGTATAACATACACAGTTGTGCCGTTCTCTGTAATGTACACAGACGCTTCTGTTCTCTACAATATATACAGGCACCGCTTTTGTCTGTAATGCACACAGGGGCTGCTGCTCTCTCTGACATACACAGGGCCTGCCGTTTTCTAGAATACACACAGGACTGCCATCTTCCATTAGATACACATACACTGCCATTCTCTTTAAGATGGACAGTTCTGCCGACCATTCGCAAGATTGCTATTCTGTCTGATAGACACATGTACTCGTATTCTTTATAATATACTCAGGGACAGCTGTTCTATAATATGAAAAGGCACCGCTGTTCTTTTTCATGTACATTAGGACTGCCATTCTCTTTCAAATGTAGAGGGGCTGCTGTGCTCCACATGATACACAGGAATGCTATTCTCTATAATATACACAGAAACTCAAATTCTCTATGAAAAGCACGGGGACTGATGTTTTCTATGATATACACAGGGACTGCTGTTGTCTCCAATATACACATGGCCTGCTGTTCTCTACATGATACACAGGGACTAGTATTCTCTATAGTAGACACATGGACTGCTCTTTTCTATAACACACACTGGCACTGTGTTGTCTGTAATATGCACAAGGACTGATTTCCTCTGTAATACACACAATGACTAATGTTCTCTGTAAGATACAGAGGGACCACTGTTCTCTATGATATACACAGGGGTTACACTCTCCATAGTATACACAGTGCGTGCCATCCTCTATGAATTAAACAGAGGCTGCTATTCTTGATAAAGTACAAAGGGATCAGAATCCTCTACAATATACACATGGACTGCTGTTCTCTACACTATACATTCGGACTGCGGTTTTCAATGATATACACAGGGACTGCTGTTGTCTGTAATGTATACAGGGCCTACTGCTCTCTAACAATATACTCAGAGACTGCAGTTTTCTAGAATATACACAGAACTGCTATTCTCTATGATTATACACACAGGGACTGCCATTCTTTTTAATATGGACAGGGTCTGTCTATTCCGTCTACTGTACACAGAAATGCTATTCCGTATCATATACACAGGTAGTGCTGTTCTCTATTAAACAGGGGGACTGATACACAGGAAATGCAGTTCTGTATAATATACACATGAGCTGCAGTGCCCTGTAATACACTCAGGGAATACTTTCTTCTATGACATACGCAGGAGCTCCTATTCTCTATAATGGAAACAGGCACTGCTGTTTTACATAACATATACAAGGTCTGCTCTTCTCTGGAACAGACACAAGGATTGCTCTTCTCTATAATATACATAAGGACTGCTCTTCTCTATGTTGTATACAGAGACTTCTGTTCACTATAATATACACAGGTACTTCTGTTCTCTACAATTCACACAGGGTGTTTCATTCTCTTTCAGATGGACAGTTCTACCTACCATTCAGAGGAGTGCTATGACCTTTGATATACACAGTACTCTTGTTCTTTACAATATATTCAGGGACTGCTGTTCTTTATGATGTACATTGGAACTGCAATTCTCTTTCAAATGGCCCAGGTTTGCTGTTCTCTACATGATACACAGGACTGCTATCCTCTATTATACAAACATGGACTGCCATTCTCTTTTAAAATGGACATGATTTGTCTGATTTCTCTATTATACACAGGACTGCTATTCCAGGCA